TTGCCCCCCCCCCCCCCCCCGAAAACAACTAGCCAACATGTACTTTTACCGGTAGTGGTAGTGCTTGTACTAGTGCTAGTACTAGTGGTACTAGTACTAGTAGTAGTCGATGTTGTAGTGGTCGTAGTAGTAGTAGTCGTCGTCGTGGTGGTGGTGGTAGTAGTAGTAGTCGTCGTCGTCGTGGTAGTCCGGTCAGCTAAGCCTCTGTAAAACTTCTACTTAGAACCTCTACCACATCCTAGAGACGAAAGCTGCAGACCCGTTGTCGTCTTTTTGGAGCCCCCCCCCTCAAAAGATGTTGTTGTCTCTACCCCCCCTAGAAACAAAATCTGCAGCCCCGTTGTTTTTTTTGGACCCACCCCCTCCAGAACAACACCCCAAAAAGCATCGAAACACAAGAGAAACAGACCAACCAAGACTTGAGTACCACAACGACAAGAAGTCCAACTACTAACATCTCTCCAAACCTTCTACCCTATCCCCAACAGTGTCCCTTTGAAATCCCTGACTTGCAACATGTGACAACTATGTTGGGCAACTGTTTTTGTCTCTACCAACAACAACAACAACAACAACAACAACAACAACAACAACAACAACAACCACAACCACAACCACAACCACAACAACAACAGCGGCAACAACAACAACAACAACAACAACCACAGCAACAACAACCAACAACCAACAACCAACAACCAGCAACCAACAACCACAGCCAACAACCAACAACCAACAACCACAACCACAACAACACCAGCAGCAGCAGCAGCAGCAGCAGCAGCAGCAGCAACAGCAACAGCAACAGCAACAGCAACAGCAACAGCAACAACAATGTCCTTTGAAAAACAACACACCTCCTCCACCTGAACCCCCCCGAAAGGAAACGTCAAGAAAAGGCAAACCAAAGACACCACACCCCGGGTCCACAACTTTGGCTGAGCCGGTCTTGCAGCTCAGGGACGTGGTGTGCGTGGTGCTGAGGTTCCAGGGTGGCGAAAGACATCCCAGCAATGAAGCAGCCCCACAAATGGGTGCCCAGGAAGTGTGTGATGGCCGCATAGACTCGGCGCTTCGGACCCGACCGACCGGACGACATCCGCTTGCGGCAGCCGGTGGGGGGAGATGGGTGGTCTGGGCGATCTGGGAGAAGACGATCGTCTTTTTGGTGGTTCCAATCAGGATTCCATGCATAAAAGACAATGGTGGATATATCAACGGACCGATGATAAACGTGCCTATTATATAGATCTGATGTGATGCAGTATGGAGTCAAGAGAAGTCGCACGTAGTTTCCCCCAAAGATCGGTTTCCGACCTCCAAATCGAGGGCTGTAAAGGTCAGTTAGACAGGCAAATAAAAGTAATAAGCCCTATGTATATTATTCTTTATGCAACCATTTTCACTAAGGTAGAAAAGACAATACTAAGAAAACGATGGGATTTAATATGGCTTTCCTTCCTTTCAGCGGCTTTTGAACCTCAGGTCTTAAAGGAAGGAAACACATAAAGGGACATAGGACCATCATTCAATTAGATGGAACATCTAATAGTAATTTAATGATGGCGTCAACTTCCTCTCTTTAAGATTTGTGGCTGCCAGAACCTGTTATCCTTGGCGAGCCACAAATCAAGGGTTAACCGATGGGGCACAGTGGCTCGCCTGGGATTCCTTGGGCCCCTTCTTGGATCTGGGCCCCCCTTACACATCCAAGCCTTTCAATCATCAACAGTGGTCATGGTGTCTCCAAAGATTGAAAGGCTGTACCAGAAGCCTGGGACCTGTGTGGCACAGCCTGTGACCGGCTGTGGTGGTGCCATGGGCGCTTTCCTTTCCCACACACACACACACACACTCCATGTATATGGAATATATGCCTATACAGTACATTAACCTCCCAAACAAACCCCGATGTAGGCAAAAATGGCATACATGGAGTGATTGGGTTTGGAACTTCTTTTCATCCCTTTGAAATCGGACAAATCCACTTTCAGATTGGTGAGCAAGCTGTGAACTGAAGCCCCTTATGGGGAGAGTTCAGGAACCCATGTCAGAGGGTCAAGAAAGTGATTTACAAGGTCCGGCCAAGTTCTGCCTCACTCGGTGATTCACAGAAAACGACATCACGGAGAAGAACAAAGGGACTCAAAAAGCAAACAAAGGTTTGAGCTGAAAGATAGTGGCAGGATAGCATGCTAGTATTATGACAAAAATGCCCTCCTTAACGAGCACCAAACAAATTCCAATGGATCTGCAAAGGGTTCTCATTGGTACGGTTAATGACCACAGGACTAGTGTAGACCCTTGATTAAAACCCCCGCATATGTGTTCAAAACATTTGAGGGCCCGGATTCTTAGGACTACTTTCGTGGCCCAGTGGCTAAGCAGCAATGCAAACATCAGCAAGAAAAGCACTTCGTCGGTCCGCGCGACCTTGGCCCCCTCCTGCGCGGCGAAAATGATTGGTCGCCGGTTAACGAACATCTACTGTGACATAGGCTGGTGAGCCCTAAGATTCCAAGCACCATTGAATTAGCAAAAAAGCTTCAAAAAGCCGTCGGAACTCTGACTAGTCTTGACATGTCTTGACCTGTCTCAAGCATTGGACTGTAGTTACGAGTCGAAGGGGAGTTCGGAGTCGAAATGGTTTGGACTTAGTCCAAACCAGCTCCCTGCAGCTCCCCTAACCTGTCTAGACTAATGGTCCGTTCACGGAAGGGGGACAGTCCAGGGGACCAGGTGAGTCCAGAAATGGAGGCAGTGCAACATACGTCGAGTCCTGAGATGTTTGCCCCTGGAGCTCCAACTCATCCCCAGGTTCTGTGGGCCAGAGGTGGGTGACAGGGGGGTCTGACCACCGAACCTGAGGATGTGGGCCAGGAGCATGTTCAGTTCTTGAGCCTCCCAGCTAGCAGCTCCCGGCTAGCAGCAGTCCATTCACACACCGTGGAACCGGATTTGTTGAGGGAACCCGGCCAAAAAAAAAAAAGAAAATGGATCAATGGTAGCTTTTGCTACACTAGTAGCGATGCACCTTGTTACTAGTAGCTTCTTGCTATACTACTAGTAATGCACTTGTTACTACTAGCTTCTCTTCTTGCCTATATTCCGCAGAAAGGGGATTCACCCCATTTGGGACCATCAGAATCAGCCTATATTGAGCTTCTTTACGCCAGGTCGAGCCCGGTCTTGAGTCACCCAACCTAACTGACTCCCCATCTCGCCGTGTCGGGAAATCGTTCCTCCACCTGTTCACGTTGGTCGTGAGGTGTCTCCGGACCTGCAGGTGATCCACGGTCTTCGGTCGGCCAAGCCAATCCGGGACTGCCACTCCGAGTCTGCCGAGTCTGTCCTTGACTGGGACCTTGGGGAGCAGCCAGCCATTGATAAACTTCGGCCAGAAGTGCAAGGCGAGCAAAGTGGCCAGGACCATCAGGACGACGCCGACCACGGGATTCACCACCACTTGTACCACATCAAAGTCTCCACCTGAGATGGAGAGTATACGATGGACTAGAAGCGATGGGGCAGCACCTGGTTTGAGCAGCAGGCCAACTTACTTTCTCCAATTCCCAGAGTAAATAGGCTCAACATGGCTCAACCAAACCTGGCAACACGTACAACGCACATCGAAACACCCTTGGTCACGCCAACATCGAGTTGTCATAGTTTAACGAAGCGAGGCGTTCGGACGAGTTTCACGAACGACTTTGACGACTGACGACTGCGTGTGTGTGGTTCGACGTTGCCGCTCGCGGCCAGGTCACCTAAGGAAAAAAGCACGTTGAAGAGGATCAAGGACAAAATGTCGTCCACGAAGGCCGCCTCACCGAGCTTGGCCCAGACCATGATATTGACATATTTGGCCTACATATGGGGTGGTTTGGGGGGTAGGGGCATATCATATCTATATGGATGGTCTGGGATATAGAGCCGCATGTATTGAGAGTCAAGAAAGACGCCGCCCCGAAGTGGGCAGTGGCTGAAACAGTCCGACCAGTCCGACGCGCGCCGAGTGGGTTGGTAGGAGAGTCCGAGCGAGTCGGAGAGTCCCTGCACACGCCCGGTTCGGCGGAGCTTCTGACATGCCCCAAATGATGACTAAGGCGTACAATGAAAACGGGCCAACGAAAGGGGCGCGGCAGAACCAGCCCTTTCTTCAGGCATTTCATGGCATGTCTGTTCCAACATCCCTGGCCCCCCGATTTCGACCCGTGAACATCTCTAGCAGGGCACGGTGATGATGGCCTGCCCGAAATTCTCCTGAGAGGTTTCGAGACCATCTGCAAAAGAACAACATACACATACCCAGAGCATCCACAGGACTGGCCTATTTTCCTACATTGGGTTGTTGAAAAGGGTTCGACATGTCTCCGCATCTCTTCCAGTCTGGATGGTGGGATAGAAACCATTAGAAACCTGTCTTCTCCAGGAGTCAGAAACCTGTCTTCTCCAGGAGTCAGAAAAGGCCTATTGGAGGCCCAGGCTTCCACTGACTTTCGGACGAAAAATCACCCAACTCCATGCGACTCCTGGGGAAAACCAATCTTCTGACACATCTAAACAATCGAAACAATCCGAACAGTCTTCTTCCGCTTCGTCTCATCCAACAAAACAAGACATCTGGGAAACGCTCCATCATCACCCTGCTTCTGTGGAGAAACATCGAGGACCCGGCACACGCGGTCACGAAACATTGGCCAGTGGTGGAGGATTGACCAGGAAACATGCATCCAACCAAAAAAAACATTTGTATTGTATAATATATTTATACAGATATAATGTATAAATTACTATATATAGCGATTTGTACCAATAATTGAGCACCTTAGTATCTTAGCTTGGATGTCCAATCACAGAAATCAAAACCATATCAGGATACATTAGGTCTTGGGATCGTTCAAAAAGAATCCATGATCAATAAATGCCATTGACACAGGACTGGTTCCGAGGTCCACTGCCACTTCCTTGGCAGGCAGGTTTTTCTCGTCTTCGCCAAGTCTCCTTCAGCACTCCTGCCTCTCCGAGCAGCCTCAGCGCAATGCCCACGCTGGTGGGTGCCAACGCCGTGCCCGCAGCCACACCTTGAGGGAAAAAGGGCTTCCTCAGTCATCGCCAGATCGCTGGGACCCCAGCCCTGCGCGGGACACCTCCTTCCTTCACCGAAGGGTGGTGAAAACAGGTGAAGCGGTGAGCTTGCTTCGTTCCATGGAGTCTGGGGTGCTATCAGAAAGGTCACATCCATGAAACCTTTTCATGGGAGCCACAGCACCCAACTCCATGTAACTCCTGGTGGCAAAGGATGTGGCAGGTGGTTGATGAGGAACCAGGTGTACCAGGTACAGGAGTTCAACCCAACTCTGAGAACTGTCTATTTAAGCCAATCAGCAATTATCTGCTTGAAATGGATGTTCACTCGTCACACACACACACACATAATCTTGCAAACAAAGTGTGAACTACCAGTTGCTGTACCACCAGTTCCTGCCCTAAGCACTCCTCAGGGCCTGGTGTATAGTATACAAACAATCCATGTATGAAATAGTTACTGTATCTACATTGGTGTCTTGTTCATGGGGTTTTCATGTCATGTAACTATTCCAGTCCCAGACATCGTCTGGTCTGTCTCATTGATCCCCCTTTCACCCGATCTCCACCGGGCGAGCACGGTCACTGTGAGCATGGGTTGGGACGTGGGAGTCATATTCGGTTGGCTAACGAGCTTCGAGGCTGGACCTTCTAAAGAGGCCTAAGCCAAGTGCAATACGTATCTAACGACCTTCTTGTCGGATGGACAGGAGCCCTAGGCTTGGATGTCATCTGCTCAGACGCCGTTGCACGGATCGTCTGAACATGACCGGACCGGACACATCGGCGGAGGAGGCTCGGGACGGGACAGACCTGACATGTTCCCTTTTTCAGCTGAAAAACATGAGCATGAAGAACCAGCTGAGCATGAAACAACAGCTGAACATATATATATAGGTTATGTTCCATCTGACAATATGTGTCCTTTTCAGCTGAAGAACCGAATCTTCTGAACAAAAACAAAAACATAAACATCATCAAACAATCCCCCTAAACTGTGGTCAAGATGTACTTGGATGTGCTGTCCAGGAACCGGAGAAACATACAACATATTCCATCATGTTCCCTATGCCAAAAGATCCACCCAGTTCGGGAAGATAAATCACCCTAGGACCCTAAGCCAAACCAAGTGTAGGTTTTGATCCACAACAGGGGGTTGAGGGTGAAGAACCTGCTAATTCTCCAAAGTTGGAGGTGCGTGGTTCTTATTCTAGCCATCCTTATTCCCTGAACCACCCTGTTCGGTCATCTCTGCAGCGCCCAACATCCGTTCTATCCATGCGCCATGGCTCTGAAAGGCCATGGTGAGCAGCGTTCCGGCCGCCAAGGGCAAGATGGTGCCAAGGACGGCGACCACACACGCTTTAGGTCCCACCACCTGACCATCAACGCGTCGAGATGCGAGGATTGGATCCGATCAAGGATCGGTGGAAGCAGATCCAAAACACACACATGACAATGAGATGTACGGCCGGGTTGGAATCGAGGAACATCCGGCAGGTTTGCATTGCACATGAACCTTGTTGTTATTTCATTGCAATATAAATATATATATATGGCATATATATACCATATATATATATATTGCAATTCTGACCTCTGGAAGATACCTGCAATAGCCCGAAGACTCCAGCATACTCTAGCATTGGAGTGGGCTCACAACATTTCATGAGAACCTTCGAGGATGCAAACAGGCTGGGTTGAGAACTCACCTTTTCCTCCCCACATTCTTTTCAGCGAAGGCGCATGTTCGCGGATCCGTTTTTGCAAGCGGCCCACCAGGACCTTTGTGTATGTGGCCATTCCCGAAACTCTACCATCCCTGAAGGTTTGGTCTCAACTTTAAAGGAACGATGACGAAAACTGGGTCATCCAAATAACGATAACATACATACATACATACATACCATACCATACCATACCATACCATACCATACCATACCATACCA